TTTCTGCCTGTAAACCCAGCAGCTCTGGAGGCTTAGGCAAGACAATTCCTTGAGCTCGGGGGTAGGGTGCTGGGGCGGGAAGGTTGCTGTGAGCTGAGATCATTTAACACTGCACTCCAGCCTGGGTGACAGAGTGAGACTCTGTCTAAAATTTTTTTTAAAAAAAGCAGTGTCTTCTTCAGGACCCCTCCTGCAGGACCTGCCTGAGACTGCTTTACAGTTAATTTTTTTATGAGCAGAAGGAATGCACTCTAAAATCATGATAAAAAGTAATCAAGCAAATACTAAACAAAAAGAATTTTTCAGCTCCATCATAATCTTATGCCACCAGCAATGTGATAAGGTCAGTCATTGGTTAAGATGTCCTCATGTGCAACACGATTGCTCATACAGATTCTCATCACGAATTTGAAATAATAATAGTCAACAAACCTGCCTATAAGTTTTACTACTGCATTCAAAAATAAACAACAAATACAGTTATATCAAGAATTCCTATCCTAAAAGATTTGTAAATATTTTGCTGATAAAACGAAGGTGCTTTCTAACTTTTATAAAATGCATTTTCAAAGTCTACCAAAGCACCTAAAATATACATGACGTGAAATGAGAAGTAATTTACTTAACGATAGTATATCTAAGGAAATGCCCTCCCACCTGTGACCTGAGGAGGTAGGAAAAGGAGAGTCAGGCACCGCTGGCCCTGCGTTACGGGGGTGCTCGGCGCCTCGTGGGTGGCACCCAAAGGAGATGGGAACACACTTGGGAGAGAGAGCAGTAATCACACCATATGGTAACTGTGGTTTAGGAGATTCCAACGTCTCCCTCAACATTGCTGACCCACAGGAAGGGCCTGGTATTACTCTCCTAAGCCACATATAGCAGAGAGACCAGCACCTAGTGCTTCACCCTTCCAAAGTCAGAGCTACCTTTTCTGTGCATAAATCAGTCTTAGAATAATCAGTGTACACAGATTAACCACCACTTCATCACATTTGGAAAAGAAATCAGATTGAGCTTACATCTCTTGAGCTCCCCACCCCAGCAGTGCAGGGCGCAGGAGAGCCTTACCTCAGGGTTCTCAGGTCCCACAGTCTCATCCCATCGCCAATGGCCGTGGTCAGGAAGAGGTTATAAGCCTGAGGCTGTTGGGTTGTAAATGATGAACCCTATAATTGTAAGGGGGAAATCAAGATGTACTTTCAAAGGTTGAGTTAATAAGCATTATGCTAATGATATCTCATAATAGCTGATTCTCAAGTAAGATATTAACACAAAGTTTTTTTCTTATTTGTAACAATTTCAGAATTGGACTCCAAAAACTTCTAAATAAAGTAGTTAATGAAGGTATATTTTGACCTAGAGAATTACTGATGTGGGTTCTCTTTATGTGTAATGCCACTGAGAGTTACAGAAGTACAAAATGGTCAAAGATCAAAAGACCAAGATAGTAACACACCAAAATTCATGTTTAGAGTATAGACCATAAGCCATATTCAATAAATCATCTGAAAGACGCCCCTCAACAAAGCACTTAAAGTTAAGGTGAGTTTTTTATCTGCCAATTATCAACCGCTAAACTACACGGAGCAGGCTCCTGCGATGACGATGTGGGTGAGCTCCCACAGGGCGTCGAGTCCCGGCCCTGACTCTGACTCGCTCCTCTTTCCCTGTGCTGCTATCAGAAGCAATTCTCACGAAGTGGAACTGAACTCAACTCCATCTACAGAACCATTTGGCACAAAACATCACCTGAACACATTGTGATAAACAATGACTTCCATCCTCCTTCTAGGTCAAGAATATTAAAAATACTAAAACAAACTTCATGAAGGATAGATGTGCCTACAAGTCATCCTTCATTTGCAAACAGAAAATAAAGGCTTACTAAGTTCAGTAATAACAAACTAATAATAATTCAAGGCCAGGTGCAGTGGCTCACACCTGTAATCCCAGCACTTTGGGA